TTTATTAACTTTAATTATTATCAAATTAAAACATATAATTTTAAAAGTCAGAACCCAAAGATCCATTATGAATAAAAGCAGTTTCCTGCCTTATCCCTTTCGATCCTTTGGTTACTCCCCTTCCAACAGAGGCAAGCGTTTTCAACTTGGATAGCTGTTTTCTCTGTGATTTGCCTATTTATTTCTAAATATGCATTTGCTGCTACTTCTTGATATCTCAGTTTTAGATTACAGACTTCCCATCATGATAAATGAGGTCCTAGTTCTCCCATCCCAACCTCTCTTACTACCTCCTGTGTCCCAATTCCCTAACAGAGATCACAGTTTTTTATAAAAACAAAGTTAATATTTAGATTCTTATGACTACACAAATATTATTCACTGCTAAGTCATATTGTGCACTATGTTCAAACCTTCTTTCTTGTACCATACTTTCTTTCCTTTTTTTGGAGTTAACAATTGTCTTATTTATTTCATTTGCCAGCTTTTCTAGGGGAATTTTTCAGATGCTTCAACATTTTGACATAAACCTATCAGTAATATTTTCTGTAAACTCCAAAAGATCAACTTCATTTCTCCCTGGCAGGCCTCCTTTCCAGAGGACTCAGGCACCTGTTAAAATCTGCATGGCTTGTTCCCTAATCTTATTGATCAGCTACCATTCCAGGACTTCCTTTCATATCCTCTGTTTCCCCTGGACCTTGTATCTTTCTCTTTTTTGGTTTCTCCCTATTTGCTAAAGTACATCCTCTAGGAGCTTCACCAGAAAAGGTGAATATACCTTGCAAATATTTGAGTTTTTATATCTGAAAATATCTTCATTCCACCTTCACAACTACTGGAAATTCAGATACCTAATTATAGGTTAGAAATCACTCTAATCTCAAATATTTCTAAAGTAAATTTTATTGATGTATAATTTACATACATTAATATGCATAATTTCAAGTGTACAGTTTAATAAATTTTGACAAAGGTATAAACCTATAACCTTCCACTTCAATGAAGAAAACAGAATATTTCTATCACATCTAAATGTTCCTTCAAGCTCCCTGTTTGTCAGTCTTCCCTACCTCACCCCACTACTGGCAACCAATGATAGACTTTTTTTACTCAGCATATTTTTGAAAATAATTCATGCCATGTACCAGTAGTTCCTTCCTTTTCATGGCTGAGCAGTATTTCATTTTATAAATATACCATTTGCTTGTTGATGGACATTTAGATTGTTTCCAGTTTGGAGTTATCATGAACAAAGCTGTATGACTATTTGTGGTCAAGTCTTTAATGGGCACATGCTTCCATTTCTCTTCATTAAATACCTAAGAGTTGGATTGTTGGGTCACATGGTAAATGCATGTTTAAATTATGAGAAACTGCTGACCAATTTTCCAAATTTGTTTTGCCATTTTACATTCCCAACAGCAATGCAAAAGTTCAAGTTGCTCCACATCTTGGCCATCATTTGGTATTGTCAGTTTTTTAAATTTTGGGTATTTCAATGGATGTGTTGTTACGTAATGCATTAGAGTGTTTTTTTTTTTTTTTTTTTGGTGAGGAAGATCAGCCCTGAGCTAACATCCATGTTAATCCTCCTCTTTTTGCTGAGGAAGACCGGCTCTGAGCTAACATCTATTGCCAATCCTCCTCCTTTTTTTTTTCCCCCAAAGCCCCAGTAGATAGCTGTATGTCATAGTTGCACATCCTTCTAGTTGCTGTATGTGGGACGTGGCCTCAGCATGGTCGGAGAAGCGGTGCGTCGGTGCGCGCCCGGGATCTGAACCCGGGCCACCAGTAGCAGAGCGTGCGCACTTAACCACTAAGCCACGGGGCCGGCCCATGCATTAGAGTTTTAATTTACATTTCCTTGATGATTAATGTTACTGAACATCTTTTCATGTGCTTATTGGCTACTTTCATATCCTCTTTTATGAAGTGTCTTTTAAAATCCCTTGCCCAGGGCCGGCCCTGTGGCTTGGTGGTTAAGTGCACGCGCTGCGATGCTGGTGGCCCGGGTTCGGATCCCGGGTGCGCATCGGGGCACTGCTTCTCCGTTCATCCTGAGGCCGAGTCCCACATACAGCAACTGGAAGGATGTGCAGCTACGACATACAACTATCCACTGGGGCTTTGGGGGGAAAAATAAAATAAATAAAATCTTTAAAAAAAAAAAAATTTTTTAAAAAAAAAATCCCTTGCCCATTTTTCAGATTGGGCTGTCTCCTCTATTACTAACATCTTGCATTAGTGCGGTACATTTGTTAGAACTGATAAGCTAATACTGATACATTTTCATTAACTAAAGCACATGGTTTACATCAGGGTTCACTCTTTGTGTTGTACATTCTATGGGTTTTGACAAATGTATAATGACATGTATCCACCATTACACTAACATACAGAATAGTTTCACTGCTCTAAAAATCCCTCGTGCTCCACCTATTCATCCCTCCCTCTGGCAACCACTGACAACAAATCCCTGGCAACCACTGATCTTTTTAACATCTCCATAGTTCTGCCTTTTCCAGAATGTCATTTAGTTGGAATCATAAAGTATATAACCTTTTCAGATTGGCTTCTTTCACTCAGCAATATGCATTAAAGCTTTCTCCATGTCTTTTCATGGCTTGACAGCTTCCAAGTTTTGGCAATTATGATTCACTGTATGCAGTTCACATCTTCTCTCTGAAAGCTTTTAGAATCTTTGTCTCTGATGTTCCAGAATTACATGATGATAAGCTTTGGTACAGGTCTTTTGTGTGTGTTTGTGTGCGTGTGTGTGTGTGTGTGTTGAGCCATTTTAATCTGGAGAATTATGTCCTTCAGTTCTAGAAAATTCTCATATTTGTTGTCTGAAAATATCTTCTCTTCCATTTTTTTTCCCCTCTTCATTGTTCGTTTCCGGAATTCTTATCAATCATTAACGGCTCTCCTAGGTTGATCATAACTTTTTCTTCCTTACCTTCTATTTGTCTTTTGGTCTGTTTGTTCTTTCTGGGAGCTTTTCTCAGCTATATCTTCTAACATTTCTCTTGAAATTTTAAAACTTTGGATATCTAATTTCCAACAGTTCTTTCTTGTTCTTTGTCCCTTTTTTTCATCCCATGTTCCTCATGGATAAAATATCTTTTCAAAATTTTTAATAGTTTTTTTAGTTCATGCACTCGCTGTATAGTTCCATTGCATACTCCTTTTCTATTTCTTTTGTTCTCTTTCAAGTTGCAGACTTCCGTCAAAGTCCTGATGATCTTTGGTTGTGTCTGTTCAGTGCTCTAAAATACTGACTGGGAGGGCTGAGTGTGAGGCTTGTGTCTTCTGGTAGCCTTCTCTGTTGGATGATTAGATGGCAGGATGACCTTTGCACGTTAGGAACCTCCCCTTTCATGCCCATATTCAGACTTCTTCTTTCTGGCCATTTAGTGTCTCCTGAGATAACTCCAGTCTCCCACATTGGATGGGGTAGGGGACCAGGATCAAACCAATCAATATGGAGACTTTCATTTTATCGCCTTTCAGCCTTGCACATTATTGTTTCCCCAACTGTGCCTGATATCCTAGAGTCCGGAACCTCTCAGTTTCAATTAGAAGAGACTTGCAAAATCATTTCATCTAATTTTTATTTTGCAGATAAAGAGAATGAGGCTCCTAAAATTCATTTGCTTGAGGTAACACTGTTAATAAATGGAGAATACGAGACTTGAATGTAGGCTCCTGCTCTCAGTGTTATGGTCAGCTGAAAAATTGCTTCCAAAAATGTCAGAGATGACTCAAGACTTGTCTTTCCAGCTGCCTGGAAACCTTGGTAAACTTTCAGGAATTGTGTATGACAGCTAAAAGCTGCAAGAAGACTGCAATAAATGAGTCCCACATCTGATCCCATCAGAAGAGAGACAGGATTTAGGTCAATAACCCGCGCAAATTTTGAAAGTGAGCTGGTTAGTTGCCTTTAGCTTCCAGGTCACACAATGGAATTATCACTACTGTTTTCTTCAACTGCAAAATTTGATGGGTAAAAAAAACCTTGACAGCCCAATCTTCTTGAATTTGAAGTATGCTACCAAAGTGTCTCCTAATTAGGAGAATGCTAACCTGGGCTAGAGAAGCGGTGACCTATTTCAACACAGTTGTCTCCTAAACACTGCTCCATGGAAAACTCATTCTGTGGGGTAACCTGAATTACTTGAGAAAAGGAATTCTTTTTTTTTTTTTTTGAGGAAGATTGGCCCTGAGCTAACATCTGTTGCCAATCTTCCTCTTTTTCTCTTTTCTCCCCAAAGCCCCAGTACACAGTTGTATATCCTAGTCGTAGGTCTTTCTAGTTCTTCTATGTGGGATGCCGCCTCAGCATGGCTTGATGAGCGGGTGAGTAGGTCCGCACCCAGGATCTGAACCAGTGAACCCCGGGCCGCCAAAGCAGAACACGCAAACTTAACGGCTATGCCACCAGGCTGGCCCTGAGAAAAGGAAATCTATAATCAAGAAAGTTTGGTAAATGCCGGATTACAGAAATCTAAACTGGTTTCTTTAATATGGGACTTCTTAAAACCTTTAATATGCACTGTGAAACTTTAATAGGAGAGAGGCGTATGTGCCATGTACAATTCACTGAGTGTATTTCAGCACAACATCCTTTTTTTCCAATTCATAGGACTAGTGTTCAAGGAAGACACCTTGGGAAACATAATCTGACGCAATATTATATTTCTGAAAGTCCTGCTATGGAATGTTTTGGATAAGAACACAAAATTGCTCTCCTTAGCATCAACTGCTGGCCTAAATGTTAATTACAAAAAGGTAAAGGTTATACTCTAATTTAAAATCACATGATGAGCAAAGTTCATATGTTTAAAAGTAACTGTATATTATTCATACTGGCATTAATAAAAATAAAGATATTTCACTCTCAACAAACAAAATGTCTGTGCACTAATGGTGAAAGACGAAGCACTAATCCACATTATCAAAAACATAAAAAATGAGGTTTTGTCCCCAACACATACTATTGAGCCTGGAAGTAGGTCTGGCAGTGGTGGACTGAAGTGAAGCTGGCAGGATCTCCGATTTGATGGTTACACCGGTGACTGCACCATCCATCCTCTCTGTCTCACATAAGCCTGGCAACTGTGCTGCCTTCTCCAGTGTGGGTAGTAACTGATCAAACTGGTCAAGGTCAGCTGTAAACTAAGAACAGAAACCAAAGTTAGAGGAAATATACTCTATACTTTCACCCAAAACAAGTAGAAAAAATGTTTTCCTTTAAACCCTGTGAATTAAGCATGACCATGAGAGAATGAAGAAAGAAGAAATAATTAGAAAGACTGAGGCCTCATTGAAATTATATGAACTAACACTGGAAACAAGTTTGGATGCTTATGATATTAATATACTGCAGGATATAAGATAAAATACACATAGTATTTATCTACTATATCTTGTATAAAATATCTGCATTGGAAAAAGATTGGACTGGAAAGAAGTGTCAAGAGTACTGTGTTATAATGATAGCAACATGGGTGATAATTTTTCTGTCATATTTTTCAAAATTTTGTAAAATGACTTACTTTATGACGGAATGAAAAATAAATTTACATTGACATAATGTTTTTTTATAATTTAAAAAAGCTCGGGAAACTTTTTTATAAATAGCGTTATCAGCTTCAAAGATCCCAGAAAAGTCACTTTCCACTTAAGGAAAACATATCTTCTAGAAGAGACAGGAAGTTCCTACATCTGTCTCAGGTTATACAGAAGAGAAAACTGGCCTTTATTTCACAAGATTATTTTACTATGATTACTCTGAGATAATTCATCAACATAAAATGTCTACTTGTTTGGGTTTTGTTATTCAATTCAAGTAAAATTTATGTTTCTAGACTGTATAAATAGAATTATATATATGTATTTTTTAAAAGTCTGGCTTCCTTGGGGCCAGGTCCATGGCATAATGGTTAGGTTTGCGCACTCCACTTTGGCGGCCCAGGGTTCGCGCGTTGGGACCCCGGGCACGGACCTGCGCACTGCTTGTCAGGCCATGCTGTGGCGGTGTCCCATATAAAGTGCAGGAAGATGGGCACAGATGTTAGCCCAGGGCCAGTCTTCCTCAGCAAAAAGAGGAGGATTGGCAACGGATGTTATTTCAGGGCTGATCTTCCTCACATACACACACACACACACAAAAAGTCTGGTTTCTTTCATTTCACATTACATTTCTGAAGTTCAGACATCTCATCATATGTAGCAGTGGTTCATTTGTTTTCATTGCTGAATAGTAGCCCATTGTATGAATATGCTACAATATATTTATCTATTCTACTGTGATGGATTTGGCAGTGATTCCAGTTTTTGGCTAACAAAAATAAAGCTATTCTGAACATTTTTGAACATGTCTTTTGTTATGCATGTGCAAAAGTACTAACAATAAAGGAAAAAATTGACAAACCGGACTACATTAAAATGAAGAACTTTACTTCATCCAAAACACCATTAAGAGAAAGAAAAGGCAAGGCGCAGCATAGAGAAGATATCTGGAAATATATAACCAATAAAGGGCTCATCTAAATTATATAAAGAACTCTTACAGGTCAATAAGAAAAAGACAACATATTGGGAAAATGGGCAAGACACTTGAATAGGCAATTCACCAAAGAAGATATCCAAAATACCAATAAACATATATCAGGGAAATGCAAATTCAAACTATGAGATACCACTACATAGACTCCGGAATGGATAAAATTTAAAAGACTGACAATACCAAGTATTAGCAAGGACAGAACAACTAGAATGAATTCTCACACACTACGAAAACTGACATTATCTACTAAAAATGAACATATATATATCTTATAATCCTGCAATTCTCAGGATCCTGCAAAACTCAGAAGAAATGCATGTACATGTGCAACAAAACAGACATACCAGGATTGTACACAATGGCATTATTGTATAAAGCTGTTACTTTTAAAGTTAATTTTAGACTGAGAGTTTTAAATATAGTTATTATTAAAAGCTGTTTTTCAGCTTAAAAACATGATATTAGTTTGCTTGTACCAAGAAACATGAAAGCCTAATCCTCAAAGAGCACACATGTAAAAAACTAACCAAAATAGTGTTATTACAAATAGTAAATAGAGACAATACAGAGCACTATGAGAGCAAGAGGAAGAAGTGTCTAAATAGGGCTACTGGGGAAGGCTTTACAGAGATGATGTGTGAACTGGTTGGGAGAGCAAGGAAGAAGATGCTTAGAAGAGACACAGCTTATCCCAGGAATGGCAAGGACTTCCACGTGCCTAAAATGCAGTACGCCTGAGGGAAGGGAGAGATTTCTGTGAGATGAGGGCAGAAAATAAAGCTGGTTCAAGACTGAGGGACCTATTGCATACTAAGTGTGAATCTTATTTCACAATGGAGAGTCTTATTGATAAACCGCTTTGTAAACACATTTTAAACTATTTCATGGATGTCTATATTCTGTCTAAATAATTTGTAAGCTCCTAGAGGGGAGGGACATATTTTCTGTTTTTCTTAAACTCCTTCAGAGTTCACAGCAATCATTCAACAAATGAAGCTGCCTGTTAATTTTCACCCCACCCCCACCTCAGCCTAAACACAGAGGTTCCTAATTCATAACAATTTATGTAAAGGTTTATTTATATTCTTCTGTTTCAGGGAGTGTTATATACCCTACTACCCAGAATACTCAAAGTCCCTATTCTGATGGGGGTTGAGGGTGCTTAGAATTTGATGAGAAGGAAAACAACCTTGCAAAGTGCTTCAAAGGAAATTAAATAGCAAAGCAAGCCAGACTAGGCAGCCTTGTCTACGTCCTCACATTTCTCTCTCATTTCATTTGTATCAGAGGTTCCCAAACTTAGCTACATATCAGAGTTCTCTGGGGAGCTTCTTTAAAATACAGATTTCTGGGTTCTATTCTCAAAGAGCTGGATTCAACAGGTGGAGTTGGAAGGAAGGGGCAGGAAAGGTATCTTTAAAATACAGATTTCGGGGTTCTATTCTCAAAGAGCTGGATTCAACAGGTGGAGTTGGAAGGAAGGGGCAGGAAAGGTATTTTTAAAAATCTTGAAAGATGTGAACTCTGATTTTATAGAAAGAAAGAAATATCTACTTTCTTAGAATGCAGTATTAATATTGTAGCCTTCCAAATTTCCAAAGAGAACTTTACTTATTTATTTTTTTGGTGAGGAATATCAGCCCTCAGCTAACATCTGTTGCCAATCTTCCTCTATTTTGTATATGGGACGCCGCCACAGCATGGCTTGATGAGTGGGGCGTAGGTTTGAGCCCAGGATCTGAACCCGTGAACCCTGGACCACCAAGGCAGAGCATGCAAACCCAACCACTATGCCACCGGGCTGGCCCCAAAAGAAAACATTTGAGAAAGAAAAATCTTGTGATTTTTCAACCATTGATACTAACTTTTTAATATATGCCCAATGGCTAGAAAAAAACATAGTCTGACTCCAAATTTGGTCTATGGTTGAAGTAGAATAAATGAAAAGGAAAAAATAACTAGGAATGTTCATTCTGTGAAGCCAGGAATTACCTACCTGGCTCTGGGACTCCAGTTTAATCTCCTCAGGAGCAGGTTTGGTCATTGGGGTTGGGTTTGTGTTACAAGGATCCATCTGTTCTTTCTTTTCCACTTTTACCTTGACATCATCCAGGCTCAGGTTTGGAGTTGATCTTAAATCTTTCTCGTCTTTATCTAAAAGGTAGCGTAGAAGCTGATGGTCTTTTGATTCTTTTTTCTTTGAAGCATCCAGTTCTAGTTTTATACTGGAGTTCCCTTGTACCTGTCCAGTCACTGACACAGAAGTAGATGCACTGTCCTTTTTATCAGGCTCGACAGACAAAGTGGTGATATCCGAGGGGCTACCCTCTTGTAAGAGCCGGTGTAAAATTTTGTGCCGCTCTGTCAGTGAGCTATGAGAGGAGGGGCAAGAACCGCTTGAAGAGTTAGCAGAGGCAGAGGTGGAAGTCCCTGTGCAAGACAGTACTTCTTTGCAACTTGTGTCTATATCAGCATGCCGTAACTGCTGCTCTGCAGTTGTTGTCAAAAGCTGCACTAGTTTATGACTGGTTTGAGAATATTTATTGTCTCCATCTGAGAGTCTGTCATTGTTATGCAGAAGCCCAGAATCCAGAGGTTTACCATCACTAGAGCTGTTATCAGACTGAATCATTTCATTTAAAATGGATGCGATCTCTTTGTTATCTTTGGACTCAGCTTTTGCTGGTTGTATATTTAATCTGCTAGGTGAATTCTGTGAGCTCATCTGCCTGAGGACTGGAGAACTGGCAGAGAAGCCAACAGAGTTATTGGGTCCTTCATTTATACTCTGTAAAGATGTTACTGGGATGTTTGAATAAGATCGGTTATTATTATTACAAGCAGCACTTGTCATGCCAACAGGGGAGCTTAATGTTGGAATATTAGGAGGAAATGAATTGTTTGGCATCCTGGGCCTTGTTGCCAATCCAGAACTAACTTGTCTCCTGGGAGACATGAACTGTGTGAGGGATATTCCTGTACCTTCTATGGGAGAATTATTGAGGTTTACAGATGGATTAGTGCTCTGGGAACTGGCCTGTCCCTGGTTTAAGGCAACACTGGCTACAATCGGATTTCCAGGTGAGCATCCAAAATTCCCTTGGCTGTTGCTAGAATTACTATGACTGCTGCTATGAAGATCTGAGCTCTGTTGGCGGTTTATTCTGGTGGATACCATGTTGCTGTTGGATGGTGGCAATGTAGATGTACGGGCCACACCATGAGCTGGAGAGATACTAGGATTGACGGAAGGGTTTACTCGGGGAATTGACATTCCAGAATTAGTGTCATCTTGAGGAGAAAGACCACTGTGTTCCCTAGAGGGGAAAAGACATTATTATTCAAACATCTTCGTTGGTTTCCGTTAAAACATTTTTTATGATGTATAACACAAAACCATTAACCTCATTAATATTTAAGCTATCAAGTAAAGAGCTTTTGTATAACTTTTAATTAAGGAAAAACAGTGGACTGTTACTACTACTATGAAATATTAGTACCACGTAACAGTAAACAGTGCTTATGGCCCCATAAATTTGATAATGGTTTCAGTTATATGGGAAAAAAATCTTTCTTGGCCTTGGAAAAAATACAACGCATGTACTTTTAAACTTTTCAAAGTTTAATACAAGTAATTAACGTTACAGTAATACTTTTGGTTGAAAGAGAAACTTCTCGCATCTCTGTTTACAAAATATTTATTCATGACTCTCTTGTTACAGCTTTTAAGTATTTCAACTCCAAAGAGGAAGACTGGGTAAGGAAAATACTGTGTCACTGATGTAAAAATTAAAAAGGGTGATATGCAGACATAGCAGATGTTTTGAAAGAGAAATCACAATATGAGAAAAAGAACTGTGCTAATTCCACTCACAAGCATAAATTAAACTAAAATTAGAAAAAAACAGAATACTGTATTCAGATTTTCATCAAGTTCTTTACTCAAATCCATAATTATGACAACAGAATTGTGACTGGTATTACCATGTTCCAATAAGCAAATATATCAGATGAGGAAAAGATGAAGTGAGGGGAAATGTCTCTGTTTTTGTTTAATGCTAAATTTTAAATAGTTGTAAATGTAGGGTTTTGAATAATTCATAGGATAAAAGAATAGTTCCATGAATTCACCATATATACCAGTGTAAAACATATTTAGAGAGAACAAATCTCAAGTTGATAGTTTAATGATTTGTAGTTTGAGAAACTGTCAACTTGAACTCAGGAGCCATCAAATTTACCCTAATGAAAATAAAGCACTTTTAAAAATAAAGATAACAATATTTACAAACTTTGGAATCTTTTATAAGACCATAAGTTCATACATGGAAAGTTGGAAATTTTTAGCCACCTTTTTGGTTTTTACCCCTAAAACACATATTTTCAGCCTCACCTTTCCTGTCTTCCTTTTTAACAACAAAGCTATTTTCAGGTGACAAAACTATAAAACCCAGTACGGATATATTGATTATATACTCATCACACTAGTTTAATGCCTAATTTAGAATTTTGTTTTGAATCAAGAGTATAAAAAAGTTTTCTCTAAGAAGAGATATGTGAACTGACTTATTTCACATGAAGCTCTCCAAACAAGCAATACCTGTCGATGATGTGAATTCCCATGATGAAAGGCTGCATGTCTGGACTTTGAGGGTAGCAAAGTTTACACTTGGTGTGGGCGCTAAGCATTGTCCCATCATTCAATATGAATCTATAGGATGGGCTGGAGGCAGTGCCACGAGTCATCACTGTTTCAAACAAAAGAGAAACCTAGTTAAAATTCTGACACTTGTACTCTGGGCAAAGGAGAGTTACCAAGCCTTATTTCTACCTAGAACCTCATTTTAAATGCCTTTCCAACTGCTGCCTGCTCAGACTTAAAGAATAGTTCAGACAAAGCAGATATCTGAGGGGGAAAAATGATTCTGGTTAAAATACACGATCTGATGACAAGTTTTAATTTAGTCCTACTTGAATGGGTGCCTCCTCACATAATGATTAGGAAGAAACCCCAAACCAGGAAAAAAAATCAACCTTCATATTTCCCCATAATGTGGCAGCTCTTCAAATATATTAAGTATCCACTAAAAATACCAGGAAGTAACCTTCTCCCCTCTCACTTTCAGTAGTATCTCTAATAAGCTTTATTTTTCTTTTGCTGGTTGGTTTTTTAATAACAGCTTTACTGAGATATAATTCACATACCATAAAATTTACCTTCTAAGTTTTGATTAGTTTTCAGAGTTCCTTAACTAAAATTCAAATTTAAATTTTCAATTAAGAATATGAATCACTAAGGTCCTACTTGACAAATTATTATAATCATATATATGTATTATTTTTGATGTTTGAATTTAGTTGAGTAAGCCAATTAAGATAAAGCCAATGATTACCAATATAAGGAACAAAAACTAGGTTAAGGCAGTCAAATCACTATATAAACAACATATTTAGCTTTGTCTTAAAGCTTCATTAACAGCAGACAAAATTCTAACTATATTGGTATTTATTAAATATATAAAGTCTATACCAGACTACTAAGTAAGAAAATGTCATCGATGTTTTAGTAATACAACAGAATTCTATTTTAAGAAAAATTTAATAGGTAGATTCAGCTATACCAAGGTTAAAAATCATATCCACCGAAACATAAGAATTACTACAACAAATAACTATTATAATTTAGCCTGTAATAAATGTTAGTCCTATTTTTCAGACATTTCAGAAAGAGCTTCAACTACATTTCAAAGACATGTGAAAAAGACTTAAAATGAGTGATTAATAAATAAATTTTGAAGCTACATATTACTTTAAGAGAAGACATGCTGTATTTTATTGTCTTGGATATACCATATAAACTGAAAAGGGTATAATCTGTTGTAAACCTATACCATACATAAATCTACTTAAGCACCCAAACCAGCATATAAACTTAATTAAAAGCATTAAAATTTACGTCCAACCAACCACATTCCTTACCCACCTGGCAATTTCAGCCAAATCATCGGCATATTTACCAAATATAACACACGGATAAATTTAGTATCTAATAAAATAATAAATGATGAAAAAGAGTCTTTAATGGAAACCGATAATTTTTGTGTAAGGATATAAATAAATACTTGCTATAGCAAAAACCTAAAAAAAATTAGCAATTCCCAACTGTTAATATATTTTTAACAATATATTTTGAAAAACAGAACTACAACAAAAAAGTGGCTTTTTAAGATAAATTATTAACCTGAGACAATGATAAAGCTACAGATGTATAAAGGGCCAGACAAGATACAATATATTTCATGTTATTTTGCTTATGCCATTTTGTCTATTTCCTCATCATTGTTTATTGCTCTTTAGGATCTCCTTATCCTGCTGGAAAACACTCACTGGCTCTTCACCATTAAGCTGTGCTGTTCAATATGATAGCCACCAACCACATGTGGCTATTTAAAGTTAAACAAAATTTAAAAATTCAGTTCTTCAGTCACACTAGCCACATTTCAAGTACTCAATAGCCACATGTGGCTGGTGGCTACCATACTGAACAAGTACAGCTCTATACAATCTGACTTCAACTTGCATTTCTAATCTTATTTCTCTCTGCTTCCTAAACATTTCTTCTAAATCTCTTTGAATAGAAGGTAGATAACTTCTTACATACTTATTTTTCTTCTTCAGCTAGAATAAATATTAGGGCTAATATTGTGTCCCATTCTTGTTTTCCACTCTCCATTGAATCTTGCTTGATGTTTTGTATATAAAATCATCTAGTAAGTACTTGCTGATTGATCTTCAACTTGAGTCTTATTACCTTATTGGTAGGTTAATATTGATGTGTCCTCAACTACCATAACTTTTCTTCAAAGGATAGATTTTAAATCTTAGCTATGTTCTCAAATGCTTATATTATATCTCAATTTAAGTTTTTGCTCTTGTAGAAATCTAAACTTACTTTTCTAACGGAAATTAATGGAGAGAAATTTCTTGATTTATTGACAAGCCCTATAAAGTGAGAAAGAACTAGAAACTCAGCCTAGCAAGGGAACATTAAGACACTTAATGTGGAGGGGCTAGCCCGGTGGTGTAGTGGTTCAGTCCACACACTCCGCTTCAGCGGCCTGAGGTTTGCAGGTTCGGATCCCAGGCACAGACCTACATACTGCTTATCAAGCCATGCTGTGGCAGGTGTCCCACATATAAAACAGAGGAAGATGGGCACAGATGTTAGCTCAGGGCCAATCTTACTGAGGAAAAAGAGGAGGATTGGCAACGGATGTTAGCTCAGGGCTAATCTTCCTCACACACACACAAAAAGATCCTTAATTTACAGAAACATCAATAGTCTTCTGGTAATTATGTTGCCTTAACTTGTACGACTATATCTAAACTTGGAAAAATTCCAAAATTGGAAAACCCCTATTAACTTAATCCAAGGAAATGATTACACTTTAAGTTTTGAAGTTAGATTATTTATTTTGTATGATAATGTGTACAATAAGACTTAGCACATGATAATTCACACAGTCATTCTTTGAAATGAAAAAAGGCAATATTAAATATAGTAAAACTTTAATTAATTAGAACCTAATTAAGACTCCAGTTAACTAAAATTCTTCTGGCGCTCAATTGTTCAGATGGAGAGATAAACAGGAAGGCAGCATGGAACAATGAAAAGAATAACAGCCTAGGAGTCAGAGTCAGGCTTGAACTCTGACTTTGTCATTTACAAGTTTAGGACTTAATAATACAAATTAACCTTTGCCCATCATCACTAAAATGCAGCCAGTAATGCTATGAGATAATATCTAGCATGGAGCCTAGTACACAGCAGGCACTCAATGACTATTTCCTGAATAAAACCAAAGAAAAAAACAAATAACAAAGAAGCAGCTTCCAATGGACATATATCCTGAGTCATACACACATTCAGCCAATCCCTAGACACCATTTACACCAACTGCTTCATTTAACTCTATATAACAATCACTAATATTTTGAATTAAGACATGAGTAAGGAAGTATAATTCTTTACAGAGATGGTTGCATAAACATTTGCTCTGCACACCAAATTTTCCCCATAAGTGGGTTTCAAGGTTTAGGACTAGACAAAACTATTTGGAATCTCATTTTGATCACAGGTCCTGGCCTCGCTGTCTGATCTAGTCTTGCCAGGCATACAGCTAGTATTTTGATCCCCGACTCCTGTGTCCATTTCTAAAATTTTTACGACATTTAGTGGGGAGGGATATTATTCGTGTGATATTACTGACACTCTAGAAACTCTTCAAAGAACCTTTAAAATGGCAATTATTTTTGTTTTTGTTTTTCCCCCAGAATAGGCCTCAACATAGCTATAAAACAAAGGAAACCATTTCTCTGGTCATAGCAGCTATAGAAGTAGAGCTATTTGGATTTCTGACTCCACCCAATTTGGTGCTGAGATACTCTCAACAAGCATGCCTTACTGATGTTAACTAAATGGGCAGGTATAAAACATGTGGTAGGATACTACGGGCCAATGCTGGTAAGCTTTCTTTTTCTTTTTGGTATTTCCCTGGACATATGTAGAAAGAATGCAATTAAAAATTGTTATTAAGATAAACAAAAAAAAGTACCCCTAGAAGCACTAAGATTTTCAACCACCAATGAGTAAACTCTATTCAGTATATCAAAATTTCTAAAAAAGAAAAATAAACTCATACTTTAAATATTTTCAACAAAGTTTGGCATAAAAAGATTTTGAGTTAACCCTGTTATATAGACCACATTATACAAATCTCAAAGAACATTCTGGTTAATCATTCATATGGGTACTTATGTTTTATAGCAACGCTTCCAAACTTCTTGATACTATAAACTCATTCCAACTGTTTCATAATATTTTTTAAATGAAAATAATTTCATTTTGTGATTATGAAGATAATATAGAAATAAACAAAGAATAAGTAAAGTCATTTGTAATCCCATCACTCAGAGATAACCACTGTTAACATTTTATGAGCCTTCTAGCACTGGATAAATAGATATACAAGAGTGAGGTCATACTGTATACACTGTACTTTCTTAGCTTATTTTTTATTTTTATTTTTTGCAGGGAAGGATTCGCCCTGAGCTAACATCTGTTGCCAATCTTCCTCTTCTTTTTTTTTTCCTCTCCCCAAAGCCCCAGTGCACGGTTGTATATCCTAGTTGTAAGTTCTTCTAGTTCTTCTATGTGAGCCGCTGCCACAGCACAGCAACTGACAGACGGGGGTGGTGTGGTTCTTAGCCTATTTTTTAATATAACAATATATCATGGACATCTTTCAAAGACAAGAAATGATGATCCATTACATCACTGACAACAGGTAAACAGAACTTTCATAAAACTTTTCTAGGCTATCTGGCCCAGCATATCCCATAACTACTACTCTCCCTAAGCGCTAACAGGTGTGCTACAAGAGGAAGTATTCTGAGGAAAAATAAGTCTGGGTAACAAAGTCAAACAGGTACCTTTATTGTAGAACTTCCCAGGAACTTAAATATCTTAAATATGCCTTATGAATCCCCAAAAGTGGGAGACTGAAACACTTCCCAAACTTAATTCAGCATGAAATGACACATCCTAGTTATAGCTATTAATATCTTGTGGAATCTAGGTTTATGTTTCCCAAACTTCTCTGTCAGAAAATGTCTTAGACTATAGACTCTGATTCAGTAGTATAGGCGAAGTCCAGAAATCTGGACTAACAACGGCCCGGGATGAATCTTATCAGGGAACTCTGGGAAGCATTTAACCTAGACCTTTCTTTAAAGAAATAGTCTGAATTGAACAGAACTGGGAACCTTTTCCAAACTATATACACCTGCATGGACCTCCTCCTAGTTTAAAAAGTTCCTCAGGAGATCCTGGTACACATTTGCCCCCAGTCTCAACGGAGAACCACAGTTTTAATCCAGTTCATGCTGAATGCTCCCACATACTCTTTGGCTGAAACGCGTTTTCAAATTTGCTTCTGGAAAATAAAATGGTAAGCTCCCTTTAAAAGCAGTCCATGAGCTGTCCCTATCAAAAGCAGCCTTGAAAAACTAAGCTAAGAATTAACTTTAATTTTTAATGCATATTAGGATTTTATACCAACTGCTGCCTTCAAAGAGTAAATTAATGGGCAGGAAAAAAGAAGACAGACGGAGGACAAATTTTTCTTGCCTAAATATCAATCACTGAAGAGTTTTATGAACTTTTAAACTTTTTCAAAGTTTTACACAAAATCAAGGATACACTGGATAATTTGTTTCACTCTTTTCACACTGTCCCTAAGGGAAGAGTCAGCAAGGAAACTGCAAATGCAAATTACACCTCTCTCCATTCTTGAGACTAGTGTTTCTCAAACTTGATGGACTTAAGCATTACCTTTGGAGCTTGTTAAGATACCGGGGCCCTCACCTGAGATTTTAATTCAGCAGGTCAACATCTTTAACAGGTGATTCCCATGTAAGTGTTTCATGGACCACCTTTTTCTTACCAGGTTAGATACTGCTGAATATAGAATATCAGAAAAAGATGTGCTCAATCCATGAATGCTGTTTGGCAAGTTGTCCAGACTCTCCAAAACACTAGAATCAGAGTCATGTGATCTCTGGACAACTTAATTCTGAGAAAAACACACGTTATTTTTATTGAGGAATTTTTTTTTTTAAAAAAAGGGGAAGAAAAAGACATTAAGAAATGAGTAATGGGGAAGAGGTGTTGACTTATATTTCTTTACATTTTACTCTAAATTGTTTCAATGTATATGTTAATGATAGATTAATTACTTATTACACTTCAGTAAATCTATTTTTTAGAGAATTCGAATGGTTTAGAAACATACTTTAAACTATGGCTTAATCACATCTATGGGGAGTCTAGTCATTTGGACAATGAGACAATAATCTAGACCTGCTCTGCCTTGGTGGAAATGTATATAAATTCTAGGCAAATAAAATTAAAAATCTTTTAAGTACTGCCTTGGAAGGCCCAATTTATAAAGTTAAGGCAAAAATCAAGGAGTATCATATACTTCAGCACTTTAGGCAATGAGTGAAGACAGTGCTCTGAGTCTCAAACCAACGCAAAAGTCAAGTGCCACTCCTGGTAGAGGGAGTCAAAAAGTCTGCAAACGGCGGATGGCATTAGTTGCTTACTGTAATGATTTCCAAACTTGACTGCCCTGGGGAACTTTTAAAAAATACAGATTCTTAGTCCTATCCATTGAAATATCATCTCTGGGGATGGTATTAGTCCAGTAAGAGACCCACTAGGGAACCACTAATCTGTAGGAAGTTGTCCTAGAAGTAACCAGACTAGTGACATTCATACAGATGGCTTCCTGAAAAAAAATCAAGCTGCTTCCTTCATATACCACTAGGAAGCAGCTGACCTAAAATGAAATGAATGGAAAATCATCTGTAAACTTAGGAAACCTAATATTATGGGAAACTGTTAAAATTAAGAACAGCAACGGAATAGTGAAAAATACCTTTTAATTGTTTTTCAGGAACAGTCATACAAAGAGTCTCTTTCCAAAGAAACTATTTACTTAGAGATTTGAGAATAAATTACATTGGGAAAGGAGTATTAGGCTACCATAATTACATGATGATATTTTTAAAGTATATCAAAATTCCTTATCTCTGAATCTCTATGAACTTTCTGGCCTTAATTCTCAGATAATTTTCCCTATCTTTCCTATAATACCACTAAGTTCCTTAAGGGCAGGGAATATACTTATTTTATACTCCTATAGTACTTGCTATGACACAGCAGCTATTCAATTATTAATTAATAATTTCAAACGACATATTTTTAACTTGAAACTTCAACCTGAGTCAGGAGACACAGGTACTGTGACAGTCATGAAGTAAACATGCATGCTACAGATCTCTGTATTATCCAGAAGCCCTTTGACACACCTGTTCTGCTGGGAATGATCTTCAAAAGCCAGACAAAAATACACTTCCTCTCCGAAGCTGTCCCTGATTCTCCAAGTCAGAAACAATTTTTTTCTTCTTTGGTTATACCTCTATTATAGCCCATGTCACACTAATCTTTAAAATTGTCATATACTCTCCTAATATATTTTGAGCTCCTGGAGGGCAAAACCCTGCTTCTTAGTCATCGCTGTATCTCTGGCACCTTACATAGTATTCTATGTATGTGAGGAACTTGATATATGTCTGCTGAATGAATGAATGAATGAATGAGTGACCACCACGTGATATCCCGTTCTTTAAAACGTGCATCTCAAAATTCAGGATCCACTCATGAATTACTTTGCTTACCCATTTCTTCCTTTCCTAAAACTGATTATTGCAAAAACTGTAATTTGGAGAAAATACTTATTGAGCCATAAATTCTATATAAATTATCAATATTAATAAAGAGCAAGGTTAACAAAAATAATTGAGAGAGAAAAGCTATACCTTCTTGAAATAGTTGTCTGGCATAAGATGGCTCTCTGCCCTGAGGTTGGAAAAAAGCATAAATGCACTTCCTCACTAAATCTTCCCAGCCAGTTCTGCCAGCAGCTCTCAGGGAACTGGTATCAATAGAGATGATTTTACCTATAAAAAGAATGAAAAGTTTACATTTATGATAGCCTTTTGATATAAATCATCTATATTTCAAAATTAACAACTACATCTAAGGAATATTCTGCCCCCCCAGCAAAATGCTTAATGGACAAAAGCACTAAAAAGTGCTATTAATTTTTATTACATATGATAACGACAGAATAATAAAAAATTGTTTTGGCTTTGGAGAGTGTTATGTACCAGTGTATCATATTTTAAAATCCAACTCCAGTCAAATATTAGTCATACCATAAAGAACTAAAGCTGCCAAGACTAATGCAGGTCAAACTCCTCTGGCTTCCTCTTTGGATCCTGCTCTCTGTATAGTAATGACTGGATCATTTATTGGGGAAGGAGAGGCAGAGATGAAATATATTATTTTGGTTTAAATTAATTTTCAATAACAAAGTGAAGAGAATGTGAGAAAGTAAGCGAGGTTTTCTTTTCTACTTCCTCTTGAGCTGTAGGCAATACTGCATTTAAGAGTAAACGAAGAAGGAAGGCAACAAAAGTTAAAGCAGAAAAAGCTAACAAATGAGATTAAGATTTGCTAGGCACTCTGTACAGAGAACATATGCTTTATAAAATTTAGTGGTGATTTGCTATTGTTATCATACTTGTGCAAATTTCCTACATGGCTGTGGAAAAATTCAGGTAAATTATTCGTTAGTTAATCAGGGGCCAATTAATCTAGTTTGTGACTCTTCAAATGTGTTTTTATTTTTTATGCAATCTTATATTCACGGAAAATACTATACGTAAGATATATAATATATACGTAAATTAAGAATAGGATTAATAAAATGAAAACCTGCAAACCCACCATCCAACTTCAGAACTTGAACATTAACCAATACCATTCCATTATGTGGGTATTCCTCACTTGTCACATCCCTTTGTCTTTACATTCTCCTGTCAGTGGACAACTAGATTGTTCCCAGTTTTTTGCCATTACAGTCAATGCTGCTATGAACATCTTTCACATTTTCCACAGTGCATGTCTGTGAGCGTTTCTCTAGGGTACATATGTAGGACTAGAACTGTTGAGTCATAGGTTATGTGAATGTTCAACTTGATAATTTTAAACTATTTTCCAGAAACTTATATAAGAGTTATTGTTAATCCAATATCCCCTCCATCACTTGGTATTGTCAGGCCTCTTTATTTTTTACAGTTAGTAGGTGAAAAATGGTTATGGTCTAAATGTGTATTTCCCCAATTAATGAGGTTGAGTATTTTTCATGTTTATTCAACATTCACGTTTCCTCTTCTGTGAATGCCGATCATATCTTTTCCTCATCTTCCTTTTTCTCACACAATCAACTCAAATCTATTGTATTGTTTGCACTTCCTCATTTTAACTAATCCCTTCTTTATATATTTCACTTGGTTTGTTTAGAAATAAATTAGACCTCTTTAACTTAGGGTCTTGAATCTAACGTACCCGAGTCTGTCAGATCAGGTTGTCGCCCAAGTCTTGGCATAAATGTAGATGGAAGAAAGAAAATAAATTAAAACTTAAATAAGGGAATTTTGTTATTTAAAAACAGTTTGGGGAAAGCCTGGTGAACACTGTGACCAAAACTACTATAGACAATTTTGGATTTTCAAAGAATTTTAATTATTCAACCTTTGTCTCTTATTATGTCCGAGATCAAGAGTTGGTTATAGCAGAGAATCCCGTTACGTAATCTTCACATGCAATAATACTCCCCACAGGCAGTGACTAAAGAAGGCGTGCATGCATGTGTGTGTGTTCGTGTTCGTGTCAGTATTGGCCCACAAGAGAGCAAGAGAGTCTGGAATTGTGGGACTGGAGGGGAGAAAGTGATTAAATTATCAGCAATGGTAATAAATGATTGGGTAATGCAATGACTATCTTAGAAGAGAATCATGAATAGATTGATTTAGAATACTTCTGCTTGCTAGAGGAAAGTTTAACCAACCAAGCAACCAAATAAACCATTGTTCAATATTTCCTGATAGACTTTTTTCTTTTTTTAAGAGACACAAACCACTCCATGTAGAATTAGAAGTACTGCTAAAATTTAAGGAATTAAATATCTAATACTTATTATAGCTAGTTTATTTTTTTTCTATTTTGTTTTTTTTTCCTTCTTTCTTTTCTTCTTTCTTTCCTTCTTCTGTCTTTCTTTTTTTTTTTTTGTGAGGAAGATCAGCCCTGAGCTAACATCCATGCCAATCCTCCTCTTTTTTGGCTGAGGAAGACCGGCCCTGAGCTAACATCTATTGCCAATCCTCCTCCTCTTTTCCCCTTTTTCTCCCCAAAGCCCCCCAGTAGATAGTCGTATGTCATAGTTGCACACCTTTCTAGTTGCTGTATGTGGGACACCACCTCAGCATGGCCAGACAAGCAGTGCATCAGTGCACACCCGAGATCTGAACCCGGGCCGCCAGTAGCGGAGCGTGCGCACTTAACCGCTAAGCCACAGGGCCAGACCCCATAGCTAGTTTATTTTTCATGTTCTATGACATAAATTGTTAGTTTTACATTTTAAGAATACTTTGTATTTCTCCGTCATCTTTCTCTTTTCTTTATATTTTCTCTGGTATCTTTGGTGTAATAAGTGTGTACAGTACAGTGATGCCCTTTTAATAGTGCTTTGGGGGAAGGCAATGCAATATACAGGAAGAGTTCTATACCAGGGCATAAAGATGTCTGTTCTCAGCTATTAGCTATGTGGTTTTGGAAAAGTCACCATTCTCTCATTTGTAAAACGGATATGCTAGATTCTGTGATTCTCTTTAGATTTATAATTATTTTATGATCCAGAGCTTAACTTTTATTTTTATAAATGTATTTTTACTTTTTTTTTTTGAGGAAGATCGGCCCTGAGCTAACATCTGCCAATCCTCCTCTTTTTTTGCTGCGGAAGACTGGCCCTGGGCTAACATCCATGCCCATCTTCCTCCACTTTATATGGGACGCTGCCACAGCATGGCTTGACAAGTGGTGCATCGGTGCGCGCCCGGGATCCAAACTGGCAAACCCTGAGCCACCGCAGCAGAGCGCGCGCACTTAACTGCTTGCGCCACCATGCAGCCCTAAATTTATTTTTAAATTAGGTATATCTAAGATTTTAATGCTGGGTCCTTGGTCAGAAACAAAAGTACCAGTGATAACATTGTTCCTATGGGAAAATACAGTCTTCTTTAAAACATCCAATTTAGTATTCAATTTACAGAAGTGCAATATGAGGAACAGCTGATATATACTGTTCCTAAATCATCCTCATAACATTTAGGCCTCCCTTGTCTCCCACATTTATTCTGTGGCCTAACCATCACCCCTTTCCAACAGGCTTTTATTCTGCTATCAAATAAGCCTTTATTTGATTTTACTGACGCAAAAGACCAGTTATATTTTTCAATGGACCGTATTTTTCCTCTGTGCAATAATATTTATGGTTTTCAATAAGGGTTTATTAAATTTTTTCCGTGCAAAAAAAAAAAAAAAAAATTTTTTCCGTGCTGTTCATTAGTAGAAAATGGAAAGGAACATGTACATGGTAGACTCAAAAAGGGAATGAAGAAAGGTATGGTAATTGGTAATTACTACCCTCAGACGCGGCATCTCCAAGCTCCTAGACATTCTCTTCATTATATTCTATTATCTGTGCTAATTTATCCCCACCTACTCTTTAGTAAGAGCAGTTGGGAGTTTATCTTTAAAAACACAAGAATAAAGCACCTAACATAGGAATATTAGATTTCTGAGACTAAAAAATTAATAAATATTGCAACAGGATCTTATAAGCAATGGTAAAGGTCAAAAAGTACATTAAAACTAAACTTTCACAAAGAATAAAATTTAATAGAAATGATTTTTTAAATCTCAGTGTGCTAAAAAGTGTCTGTACTATCTATCTCTATTTTAAAATTAGAGAGGTAAGTGATACATATGTAACTCTAATGTAAAAGTATAAAAATTTGGTTTTTATGTGTTAGAGTGAAGATAAGATTAAATAATATAAGAAAAATACTTTATAAATTGTAAAGAACAATAACAATTTGGTTTTCGCCAAAAATCAAATCTAAAGCACGCCTTTAAAAGGAAAGCCTTATTTTCAGGCACTCTCACCATTACTCACTTTGTGGCTCTACTGCCCTTTCAGTTCTTCTAACACACCTCTGTCTTACTCAGGGCTTTTGCAGCTCTGTTTCCTCAATCAGGAGCACTCATTCTGCACCATGATCCTGCCTCACTGCCTGCTTCCAACACCTATACTTTGCACAGTTGGCACCACTCATCCTTCGGGGCTTAAGGGCTCAACATTGGCTCCTCAGACAGGCTTTCGTTAACTAGCTAATTTTAAAATAGATCCTATTACTTTCCTTATACCATCTCACACCTTTTCCATCATAAAATGTACCACAATTTGTAATTACATCGTTGCTTTTTGCTCAACCATGTATATACCCTGAGCAATCACACATACTGACAGGCACTTCTAGACACTCAACCAGCATGTGATGAATAAACAAAGAAAAAGAATTAACGAAAAAAGAAATAGCCAGGTTCATTTAAGCATAATATTAAAACCATAATATTTGTATCCATTTATAAATAAACATATTTATATCTACATTGCCAAATGTCTTTAAAAATTTTATTCCATGATTATGAAAAATAATTTACAGTAAAACAAATACAAGTACATGAATAGTTATAAATAAAGTTCTCCCCAGCACCCTGCCCATGAAAATGATCACAATATCTAACATGCACAATATCAAGACCACCATTTAAAATGTTTTCTGTATAAGACTAGTGAACAGAAGTCTAATAGCAGAGAACAGAAGAACACAACATTTTTGACATAATTAGTTTTAAGGGCATAATTAATCATTAACACCGATGGAACATTCTGAACTTTGCAGTTAGTACCTGTAGTATCTTGCTTGGTCATAAAGGATTCTACACCCGTAATAGCTGGAGGCCGAGGTAATCGCCGTGCAATACAAATCAAACATGACTGGAAATCTGCCCAAAACAAGAATGGAAAACTGAAGGAAAGAAGTTAGAAAATGGTTCACATCTATCACTTGCCATTAATGGTTTTTATAAAAACAATACATGTTGTAGGATCTGACACAATATTGGAGTCACGCCAATTTAATAATATAATATTAGAAATAAAATTACTGGCGACCAAAAGCTGGCAGCTCTAGGTAAAGATCTAGTTAGCATAAATTATCTCTTCCCATTGAATGTTCTTACATAAACTAGAGGAGACTGATGCCTCTCACATATTTGGATGATGACAACTCAAAGAAGTAGTTTTGGCTGGATTTAAGCAACACAGGGGTTTTTAAAAGACAGTTTTGTAGTCAATTTCCTATACTGATCAGTACTTAATGGCTACAAAGATTATTCTTATAACCACTGCGCAGATAACAATTACCATATGAGAAAAACAAGATTTAACTGTTTTTTTTTCTTTTTTATAATTTTTATTTATTTATTTTTTCCCCCAAAGCCCCAGTAGATAGTTGTATATCATAGCTGCACATCCTTCTAGTTTCTGTTATGTGGGACACGGCCTCAGCACGGCCAGAGAAACGGTGCGTCGGTGCGCGCCCGGGATCCGAACCCGGGCCGCCAGCAGCGGAGCACGCGCACTTAACCGCTAAGCCACGGGGCCGGCCCAAGATTTAATTGTTTCTGAAGAAGCATTCTTTTGCCCTCTACAGAGGACTTACGTTTTTAGGATCTATAATTTTTCGAAGTCCAATTTCTAAATATTTTTGAGAGTGCTACACACAATATCACACAGCTAAATATGAAAATTAATCGTATCAGACAGACTTGTATGTGTATTTTGTAAAAAGTCCCCAGTTGACTGTGGCACCCATTCCCTGGTGAGACCCACTAGCTACATGGCCTTTTTTGCATCTGACTGACTTCTCGTCTATTACCTTTCCTGGTCCTTACTCCAGTTTCCAATTTGTGTTGTTCTTAACTTAGCTCAGTCTAACTTCACATGGAAAACTCATCCACTGTCACATATTAACTAATGCCATGCTGATGCTATGTTCATATTAGAGCTTCAGCTGTGTTTTCATCTGTTCATGAGCTTTCTCCTTGTAAATTACCTTGGATGGCCTCAAAAATGCTAACTCTATTCTCCAATGTTCCTTACACTCTAAACTTGAAACTTTCTAAAAATCAGAACTGTTCAACAGCCTGCTGCATCTGGTACATTTCCAACTGGCAACAGTTTAGTTACATTTCTTATTTCTAGGCAGCAAGTTGGTTAGAATTTGACATTTTACTGGGAATGCCAGATTAAAACTGAGAATTTGGGGGCTTTTTAAAGGGAGTGATTCTAGATGTTAGCAATTTTTTTTCTTAAGAAATACATAGCAAATTGAATAGCCACTGTGATATATAATATAGTAACTAAAAATACTATCTGAAGAAGGCAGTTTATAATCAATTACCTCCCTCTTCCTGAAAGCCATGGGAAAAGCAATCAAACACCTTAAAATGACCCTTTGTTTTACCTTCTCCATCCTCTTGAATTGATTTTGGCTGTGACACAGTGAAACACTGCATTACTTCATACCGCTGGCAAGCTTCTTGGTTCTCGGTGCCTGGCTCATCTGGAGGGTGAATTAGCATCCTGCAGTTAAAGGTATGGCTATTTCGTCGTGTTGCCTCTTGAGGCCAAGGAACTCCATTTACTGTGGAAGAAAAATTGATTATGTGCTGGTGAAAAAGTACAAACTCTGAGGATACAAAAGACATACCTTTAGCCATCTGCTTAATTAGATACTCAGTTTAAAAGACCCTCTTCAGATCTAACATTATCCTGAGGCAATAGGATACTTATCTTCCTTAGCAAATCTATATGTCTACCAATTAGAAAATTGTTAAATTTCCAAGAAATTGTATAAGATTCCCCCCCTCAAAGATAAGGCCTTAAAAATACCCTAATTCATTAACAGTCTCCATAAAAAAATACAAAAATTAATAGCTTACTAGCTCTTTTGCTCAGAATTTTATCGCAATTAACGAGCTTTTCTGTTTGTTTCCACTTATACTCTGTCAACGATAAAATGACTGAAAACCATTGTTAAGCGAGGGTTTTAACCTAGCAGGCATGGATTCTTAAGGATGGGTTTGCGTGAATGTGCACCTTTTTGGGGAGAGGATTCAAAGTTTCTCAAAGGAGTCTCACTCAAAAAAATATTTAGAATACATAGAGACCAATCTTGGTTTCTTATAACTATTTTTTCCTGTACTTTATTTCATTCGCACAATTATATGCTACAATGCCTCAAATAAGCTATTACATAAAAATTCTTGTTAAAACAGAAATGTTATCTGATTCAGTATAAGAAAATTGAATTCAGTTGTAAAAAAGATGTCTGTACATTTCAAGTGAGAATCATTGTGTGGCTGGTCACCATTTCCCATTTACAATGCTATATTCAAACCACAGGGGCAGTCAGACGGTTTTTTCAAGGCTATCCTTTCACCGATCCCAACAGTTTTCGTCACTTATCCTCTCCATTGACCCTCCTTCCTTTTTACTATCTGATCACTCTATAACTGTTAGACAAAATTATGGAAACAACCTACAAACCTACACGGGAGTAAGGAGTCTTGGTTCTGCTATGAGCTAATTGTCAGGTTTGGATTAATTACTTAAGCTTCGCTTTATCTTTAAAATAAAGGAATCCACTGTCTTATCTCTAAAGTCATTTACACTCTAAAATTCTATAACAAAACACATAAGCCCCCTTGATAATTCAAATATTGGACTAGTGAATTTAATAGAAATAATAATTTCAGGCCCCCAGTTACTATAAAGATATACTACTCTTTTCAAGGAAGAAATAAGGCTTCCATTCCATCTCGTGAACAATGTAGAAAAAAAAAGAGCTATGGAAAACATTTTATTTGCATGTTTGGTTTAGTTATATACGATTTCTAGCCAAGGCCCTGCCCCCACTTTTGGAGCACATATAGGCTAAAGAGTAGGCACATGGCTTAGTGAATGGAATAGAGGCTGGAAATCAGAAACCATCCATCCTCTCAGTTAGGCTCCTCTGTCAGTGAACAACACATCCAAACATATTTGGAACTCCTGAGTTGAAACCACTTACATCCAAAAATGTTAATTTTAATAAGTATGTAACATGACAGTATATTCCTCCCTTCCTCCTTTCATCACCTTTTTCTTTTTTTTCTTTGAGCAGGGTGGTGGGAAGGGTATACATTTTTCTCTTGGATATAATCAAAATTGAAAACAAAGGGAATTTCAAGCAGAAGCCTCTATTTTTTTAAACACTTTATTTTTTTGCTGGGAAAGATTCGTCCTGAGCTAACAACTATTGCCAATCTTCCTCTTTCCTTTTATCTCCCCAAAGCCCCAGTACAGAGTTGTATATTCTAGTTGTAAGTCCTTCTAAGTCTTCTATGTGAGCTGCTGCCACAACACGTCTACCGACAGACGAGTGGTGTGGTCCTGTGCCTGGGAACCAAACCCGGGCCGCCAAAGCAGAGCGTGCCGAACTTTTAAGCACTAGGCCATCGGGGCTGGCTCTCAAGCAGAAGCCTCTTGTGGCAAGGCAACTAACTGCTCTGCCTCCCACTACTGGCATATGATTGTGGCATGATCTAGAGAGAGAAGATAAAAGGAATGCTCTTTATCAGCTATTTGATGACATTCTCCCTTCATATTGACATCCAAGGCTGAAACTGAACTTAAAAATATTAATATATTATAACATATATTAGAATAATACTATAAATATAATAATAATATATTTATTATGTAAGGAGAAGCTACAGAGAGTTTATAATCTTTTAAAAAACACATTTCTTTGTACCAAGTGATTTTGGTAGCAGATTCTTCACAAACTCCGCATGATCCCCCACGTGCAGTATGCTGTAGACACTGGTATTCATTAATTCCTCTTGATTGTAACCCAAGTAGCTGGTCACATTCTCTGACACAAATACAATTCTCCCTTCACAGTTCACAACAAAGAAAAATCCATCCAAAGCCTGCAAAGCCAAAAAAAAAGAAAAGGATTAAGAGGTTGGGAGGTTAAAAGATAAAAGAAAAATAAACATATACATTTCTCTATTGAAAAAGAGATCAGAAATATATGTCAAGTTAAAAGAAGGGAGACTGAACAGGAAATTTAATAGAGCATGTTCTCTGAAGAGGACAAGACTTTTACTCAGACTGCACACTAACGTTTCAAGTAGGCATAAATGAATATTTATTTCTTCCTTAGAAAGAAATTTTATGGTAACAGATGTGAAGCAAGCAACTGACCCATTCCTTCAGTCATAAACATCTCTGAACTGTAGGTTAAGACCTGGTCTCTACTCTCAGGGAAGTTGTGTACAGTTGGAGAGAGACATAAACATCATAAAATACCAGTGATAAAATGCAGTGTCAGAGACACACACAGAAAACTCTCTGAGCACAAAGAAGGATACCTAATTTGGGGTCAGGGTAGGGGTTAAAGTAAGGCTTCTTACAGACTCCTATCTGACTTATAAAAGGCATAGTGGAAGAAGGCAAGAGGAATGAAGGAAGAACATTCTAGGCAGAGGGGAGAGCATGGCACATAAAGGAACAAAAAAGCAGTTTGGAGTTGCTGGAGCACATGGTACAAGGCAGGGTTGTGGCAGGAAATAAGTCTGGAGAGGTGGACAGGAGCCAAATCACAGAGGGCCTCCTATGCACTGAGACAGAGCCAGGGGTCTCCAAAAGAAGACGTATGTGCCCCACAGGGAGCATAATATCCACAGGGGTGCAGGAAAAAAGTGAGAACCTCTATTTACAGTGTAATCTAAAACATAAGGAAGAAATTAAGCTTAATAAACATATCAACACCTTGGGGCCTCACTCAGTCCAGATAGTCACATATCACAGACCTTGATCCCGAGAGGAATCCCGAGAGAAGACCCAGAATACGAGGTTGACAGGGGCATCTTAAATAACCTTTCCATTTATTGCAACATATTGCAGTTTACTTGCTATAGAATGTACATAAGCAATAAAAACAAGACCTTTAAAAAGTAGAACATTTACAGAATTTTGCAACAAGATAAAAATCCTTTGTATCACACAGGGGTTTACTGGTAAAATACTTAAAAGAGCCATCTAACAATGTTGGTGGGCTACTCACATTTCTTTCGAAAAATGGCAAGTGTCCCAGATTTGCTGACCTTTTCTATGACGAGTGGTAACGAAAATATGCTACCTAGCAGATATTTTCCAAATTAGAAGCACACATAATTTTGTCCCTTCAGGGTAAAGATGAAATTTTAACAATGAATAAGAAGTAAATTGCCTTTCAAAAAGACACTTGAACTATAGAGACAGGATGTACTGAAATGTTACCATAGTTATGATTTTGTTGCTGAAAATGATGCAAATCACTTGTAAAAATTATCTTCTCAGTTTAAACATTTATAAACAGAACTTTTTATCTGCTCAAAAATCTTCCAATCAGAGTTTCAGTGGGCTTTAAACCCACTTTTTAAAAATGTGAAAATGCAACATCTTTTGATTAGTTTGGAAGAACCACTGTTTTAGATCAAGGAAGATGGAATTTCAATAAAAACCTTTGAATAATTGGTGAATAGGATTTTAAAGTAAGTATTGTGACTTAGTAAATTCATCTAATGATATATTTTTCCATTTCTGTCTACCTCATTTTTGTGAGGTATCTTTTTCAGCTAAGATGATTATTTAAACCAAATAGTAAAATAAACTGAACTGAAAACTACATCTTCAAATCACTGCATCACAAAGCATTCAACCAAGATTTTAAAAAATAATGAAACAGGGCCGGCACCATGGCTTAGCGGTTAAGTGCGCACGCTCCGCTGCTGGCGGCCCGGGGTTCGCATCCCAGGCGCGCACTGACGCACCGCTTCTCTGGCCATGCTGAGGCCGCGTCCCACATACAGCAACTAGAAGGATGTGCAGCTATGACATACAACTATCTACTGGGGCTT